GAGTGCTGGGGATAGTGGAGTGCCATCTTCCTAACTATTTACATACCAAAAGAGATGAAACCACAGAACCTAAAGACATCAGTAGTACACACAAAGTGAAGACAAGAGGGCTATCAGGCTTCAGGGAAAAGGTATTTACATCCCAAAACATTGGAGTTAGGGCTCTAGCTCATTGCGTTTCCATGAAGACCCTTTCAGGAGGGTAATGGGACAACTTCTTCCTTCTCCTTTATAAGGAGAAGAAATCATCTTTTCCTGTCCTTGCCCGATGGAGTGTGTGGCCACTAGAGTGGGACAATAGATGTGGCTTTCATTGCATCGCCTTAGGTGTGAGGCCCAAGTCAAGCAGGAAGCTGGCACACTTAATGTAAGGTATTTAGTAGGAAATCTGTCTGGGGAGCAGAATCCCTTCTGTGTAAATTTTAAACTTTAAAATGTAATTAAAAACCCAAACACAGGCTGTATTAATGATGTATGGAAAGAAGGAAGAAGATGCAGTCTGTTCATATGGTGATTAAGAACATAGACTGTAAATAATTAGATTGATCAGGAATATAATCCAGTTGTATCACCTCTTGTGTGATCTTGAGATTAAGCTTCTTGATTAAACTTTATTTTCTCATTGTATTAAAAATGAGACACCTTTTTGTAGTTGTTCCTAAACGTATGCATTATAATTACTTATGCAAAGAACTAAGCAGTGCCTGAGAGATGATAGTGGCTCTGCAATTTCTGGAACAAAGAGGGAGCAGTTTGATTGAAGGTCGGGACAGTGTATTAGTTTCCTAATGCTGCTGGAACAAACTACCACAAATTTAGTACTGAAAAACAATATAAATTTATTATCTTACTGTTTAGGAGGCCAAAATACAAAAATCAGTTTCAGTGAGCTAAAGTCAAAGGGTCCACAGGCTGGTTTGTTCTGGAGACCCTAGGGGAGAATGTGTTTCTTTGATCTATCCAGCTTCCAAAGGCTATCCAACATTCCTTAGCTTGTGGCCCCCTTCCTGCATCTCCCTGCATCTCCAGTGCATAGCTTCTTCACATCTTTCTGTCCCTTCGTTCTGTCAAGTTGCCTTCTGTCTGACTCTGACTCCTCCTGCATCTTTTCTGTGAGAACATTGTGATAATATCTGGCCCGCTCAGGAAAATTGGGGATAAAATTCTCATCTAAAGATTCTTAATTTCATCATGTCTGCAAAGTCCTTTTTTACAATATAAGGTGACGTATTTATTGTTCTAGGAATTAGAACAATGAAATCTTTAGGGAGACATTGTTCAACCTACAGCAGGGTTTTGAAGGCCCTTATTTGAAGCACATTTTATAGGCTTAAAAAGTCTATACATATTATAGAAAAGAAGTCTGAAATTGTGGGAAGATCCAAAATGGTGCCAGCCCTGGCTAGTGTTCAATGAACACAACTGTTGTTAATGTTTCTAAATTAAAGAAAAACAAACTTATGTATTTTCTCCAGACTGGAGAGCTTCAAAGCAAACAAACAAAAAAAAATTCATTACATAACTGGAGGGAAGGCATGAATGACCAGAAGAAAAAGAGGAAGGTCTGGGTGGAAAACTTCAAGAGAGCCCCTGGATTGATATTTATCTGTGGTTTTCTTGCCCACTCCTATTTATATTAACGTATTATTGGAGCAAATAGTAATAGCAAAAGTGAGTACCGCATTAAATTCTCTCTGTGAAAATTTGGAGCTCAAGGCAGACCTCCATTTGGGACATCAAGGTAGAGGGTGGCAGATAGGAGTATATGAGTGAATGATCAGATGATGAGGGCAGAAAACAGATATTCTCTGCATTCAAAGTTCAGTCTTAGAACAGTGTGACATAGCATGACATGTAACTTTGAGAGTCAAACAACAATATCAACAATACCTGAGACTTTCTGGACAAACAAACTAGAAGAGAAAAAGAGGAATGATGGATGATCCCACTGTGGTTATGATTCCTTGTTTGAGAATTATCCTGAAATATCCTGTTAGGGATTTCCAGAAACGGGTGGGATGCAAGAGATGGAGAGATGGAGTTTCTGTAATAGTAGGATTGGGCAATGTTTCTTTCCTTTGCTGGAACATCAAAGTTATAAGATAGGAGTTCATTTGTACTAGATTTCCCATAAAGACAGAGACAAAGGCTTATGTGCTATACCTATACTAAGCCCACAAGCCCACATCTGGGGCTTTATCTTTAGCTGAATGTATGGTATCTCTGTGGAAATATGTTATCCTCTGCCTTCAGACTGGTAGTGATAGGTGACTGGGATGGGTGCCTTTTACTTTCAATAATCCAATGGGAAAAAATATGATTATTAGCTATGGCAGTGGCAGAAGATTTTAATTAGGCAACAAAGCTTAGCAGGAGAAGAGAGCCAGAGAAGTCACAGGGAAGCTACAGGTTACAACAGATTTGTGAACTCAGCCAGCCACAGTGGTGGCAGGGCCTAGCTGCTACAAAAAAAAGACATGTTTTACACAAATACTCATGTATATGGGCAAAATCTCCATATTTGTGACTAATTGTAAAACATTTTATTTTAGTTTTTGTTCTGTGAAAAGTATAATGTATTCCAACAATGGGTTTTAATGTAGATTATTTTTTTGCACCCATGCTGTTGATTGCTGAATGTTAATAGTCTGATTGTGACACTGAATAAATGTCTTTTCTTTAAAAAATGTAGTATCTAACTTCACATTAATTCAGGATTTTTAAAGAAAATCCTAAATCTTAAAATAAGAGTTCTTTTCTTTAAAAAAAATCCTAAATTAATGTGAAGTTAGATACTACTTTTTAAAACACATTTATCTCATGTTTGTATATTTTTTCTATTATCATCATGATATCACTAATAACACACAATTTGGTCATCTCTACTTTGTGCATAGCGAATAATGACTCAACGAGATTAAGATGGTGTCTGAATAGTGTTTCTGATTCATCAAGTTTTTGCCGGGCGTAAAGACCAAGAGGTCAGCAATCAGTGGAATGTTAAAAAGTCACTCAATCTTATTGTATGTTGAGACTTTTTCTTCATATGCCATTTCTGTCTCAAAACTTTACCTCTTGAGTATGCTTCAGTTTGCAATGTCTTTCAGCTTTTTCTCTGTATGCTGAACTTTTATTCATTTTTTTGGATACAACTCAGTGATATCTTTCCCATGAAAGCAAATGAGATACTCTGATTTTTGAGGCTATGTATAAAGTGACATTGTATCTACAATTTGATTCATTATTCATTTAAAGGGTTTGATATGTTGATAAAGGGAAAAATGTGTTCACTATGATGTAACCAAGGTCATTTAACAGACCTTTAGTAATTCAGTTATGAGAGTTGTGTAGCTGAACATACTGTTCCTCAATAAGTTAATTTATTCTGAACTGTATTTCCTTAATAGCTTATCAATAGATGGGATATTCCATTAATACCTTGAATATGATCATGCAAATGAACATAAAGGGAAAATATAAGTTAAAGCCCATATTAATTTCCTGCTTAGTATTACCTTGGATTTAAAAAAGACACAGACTTTCTCATGACAGCATATTTTAAATAATCATTAACTGCAAATGTCATTGGATTCTTCAGAATTGCATAGTTCCATCTCCAGGAAATAAAAAGGCAAGAAGTTCATATCTTTATTAACAGATTTATTACATTCTACACTCCCCATTCCTCCCAAATAAAACAAACTGGAAAAATAAATTTTACTTTCTTATTGGCTTGTAACTGACAAACATCCCTTTGATAAGTTTCTCCTTTTATATTTCAACAAAGAGGGAGAAGACAATAAAATTACTCTTGAGATTGTGGTGGATGAGAAACACTGTAGTGCTGAGTCTACCAAGGTCTGGAATCAGATATGGTTACTGAGAGCTCACATTCTTTGGCTATCTACCCTTACAAAGTTTGTCCTTTTCTTTTATACATTTAACACTACGTAAAAGAGAAACCAGGTCTAAAGAGATATGTTTTGGTTTTAAGAATAACAAAAGCTGTGAAAAAGTTAAAATTAAACTGGGACATACATGCAGTTTGTCAAGTATTAAAGAAGCCCAGGTAGAGGCAGAACAAATTAATTAACTTGAAATTCTGAATACAGTGTCTGTACTTCTCTTTCTAGAGGGTAAGGCGGAGATGGTGGTAGTAATATTACAGCAAGTTAATCTAGGGTGTTCATTTCATTGTTAGCAGATGGAATTATTACATTCAACTAAAATATCACATCTAATTATTATGCTGATAAATTTTCACTGGACTGAACAGTTCTTTTATACTTATGTAGTTTTGGGTTTGATTACAATGAAAACCTTAAGGAGTGGATATTTTTTCTTTCATGCCTAACACTATGCCATAGTAGCAGCTCAATAAATTCATATTGATTATGATATTGGCAAATAATTAGTCTTCTGTGATTTCTCCATGACTCTTTCTATTAATGTTGAATTCTTAATCCAACATTGTGGCCAGCTACATTGATGCAAAATATTAAATTAAGGGTTAGGCAACATGTCTGTCTTTATCTTCATTCAGATTTTGCTGTACTTAACTCACATAGCTAATGCTTGTGAGAGCTAAGAGTTGCAATATCAACATATTTGGAATATGTTTTTTTACAATTTTTTTGTATACTCATTGAAAATGTCCAGTTGATGCTTGAAGCTTCTTGCTGTAGCTGAAAAGAAATAATGTAAGTAGGAAACATGAAGTGAAAATAATAGTCTCTAGTAATAGAATTTCCTGAGGTGAAGTGCTTGCAAAATTTGTCAGACTAACAATATAGGAGACCAATGGTTTAGGCATTATTCTTATATGATGAAGGAAAAAAATTACTATCTTCAAGATTCCCATCTAGTAACTGCATCAAAAAAAAATATCTGATGTTGGAGCATGAGTAAGGCATAAACTGAAATGTGTAGATTGATTTTTGAAGTCAATGAACATCTATAATAAGCAATGATACATGACCAACAGTAAAAATACTTAGATAATGCTAGATTATTTGGAAGTCTTTTATATACTTAGACAAAAAACATTCAAAAGATGCAGGGACCGCTGGCGCGTGTCCCTGGACGTAATCCTATTCGCCCCCGAGGAGCTGACGGTCAAGACCAAGGAGGGCGTGGTGGAGATCACCGGCAAGCATGAGGAGCGGCAGGATGAGCACGGATTCATCTCCCGCTGCTTCACCCGGAAATACACACTGTCCCCTGGTGTGGACCCCACCCAGGTCTCCTCCTCCCTGTCCCCTGAAGGCACACTGACCGTGGAGGCCCCCCATGCCCAAGCCAGCCACGCAGTCCAACGAGATCACCATCCCTGTCACCTTCGAGTCGCGGGCCCAGCTTGGGGG